CGTCCGTAGGATTTGAACTCTAGACCTGCCACTTGGAGAGAGTGACGACTAGACCACTACACTAAGTCGCCACACCTTTTATTTTAATTTATTATTTTATACATAAGTATAATTTATTAAAAATATACTATTTAAATTTATAGCAAATAAATTATTTGCTTTAAAAGCTTCAAGCATTAACAGTTAAAATAAATTATCTATTTTTTAGATCAGATTAAATTTTGTTGAGAATTCATTGTTTATTATGTAAAAAATACAAAAGTAATACTTGAGCGACTTTTATCTATAAATTTTTGAAGAAAAAAAGGTGGGTTGAATCTCGTTTGGTTAATTTATTTAATTTCAAACCAACTAAAAATTTATTTTCATTCATTGAGTGAAGTGCTTGAGATTACCTTTACTCAGTACAGCAATATTATTAAATTTCGTTTGTACGTATATTCGATATGCTTGGTATGATTAATTTGTACGAATATGCACTCTTTTCAACCAATAGTAAAAAATAGTTACGTACTTACATACTTCTTATTCTAATTCTGGGTTATGTGCCACAGGTTTCATGGGTTTGGGTAATACATAATAATAATAATAATTACTAGGTTAAGAATTTGGTTAAATTTCGTTCTCATTTTCGATTTTGCAAAAAAATAGTAAAGGTTTACTATTAAGAATTTGTGGTACAAATTTAGTTTCTCTCTCAAAATTACAATTTTATGAAATAATAATAACAAGAAAATTCAATAATTTATGCTAGTTACTGATTTATTTAGAGACTCAGTGGTGATAACCATAGATTACACAAGATCAGATCAGCATATAAATAATTTTTTTTTGCAATTTTTTTTTTACTTTTATTCTTCTTTTTTTCGTCTAGTATTAAATTTCACCCTCTCTTTCTATGCTTTTAAGTAATCATTGTTAGTGTTGTTAATCTTCTTTCGGTATGTCTTTTGTTTAATAACTTTTGTATTTCTTTTTCTATACTTTTAGATAATATAGTAACTGATTCGGTACCTTCTCTTTCGGTATATGTCGTTGGTGTCGTTAATCTTTCGGCGTGTCTTTGGTTTAATAACTTTTGTATTTCTCTTTCTATGCTTTTAAGTAATTGTCATTGGTGTCATTACTCTTCTTTCAGCATGTCTTTGGTTTAATAACTTCGTATTTCTTTTTCTATACTTTTAGATAATGTAGTAACTAATTCGATACCTTCTCTTTCGATATACGTTGCTGGTGTCATTAATCTTCTTTCAGCGTGTCTTTGGTTTAATAATTTTTGTATTTCTCTTTCTATACTTTTAAGTAATCATCGTTGGTGTCATTACTCTTCTTTCAGCATGTCTTTGGTTTAATAACTTTTGTATTTCTCTTTCTATACTTTTAGATAATGTAGTAACTAATTCAGTACTTTCTCTTTCAGTATATGACATTGGTGCCATTAGTCGATACTTAACTTTTGGCATGTCTTTTGTCACTGGTACCTTTATCTTTCAGTGCATCTTTTGTTGCTGATATCTTTAATTTGGTGATTTTATTTTTTTTTGGTGCTTTTCGTGTTGTTGCTTGTTGCGTGTCGTTAATTGGCGCTTTCATCTATGGGTGTGTATAGTTGTGCATAGCCATTGGAATAGTGAGGTCTAATAATACTATGTAAAATGATATAAAATGTGTTATTGTTATAAAGTATTATTATAATAAAATTGAATATAAAATAATATATAATTACAATAAAAATATATTTAAAGTATTATAAAAACATATTTATAGTATAATAATTTTATTTAAAAATTACAATAAAAATATATTTAAAATGCAATAAAAATATATTTATAGTATAATAATTTTATTTAAAAATTAAAATAAAAATATATTTAAAGTATTATAAAAACATATTTATAGTATAATTATTTTATTTAAAAATTACAATAAAAATATATTTAAAATACAATAAAAATATATTTAAAATACAATAAGAATATATTTATAGTATAATAATTTTATTTAAAAATTAAAATAAAAATATATTTAAAATATAATAAAAATATATTTATAATATAATAATTTTATTTAAAATATAATATTATTATTAAAAAAATTATTATAAAAATGTTTTTAAATTATAATAAAAATATTTTTATAATATAATTAAATTATTTTAAATAATATTATAAAAATAATTTTATAAC